CCTGCGCCTACCGCCTCGGCCCGCGCGCCCGCATCCTGCCCCTGGTAAGCGGCCCGCGCATCCCGAGCGGCGGCACCGGCGCGGCCTTGCGGGCGGGAACGGCCTTGCAGCGGGGAGGGAAGCGTCCGCCCGGAAAGTTGGGGAAAACGTTGGCGCGGAAAGTTGGCGGCCTCTTGCCAAGGGCCGCTGGAGCAGCGGTGTCTCCCTCCTCCCCCTGGTAAAATATACTCCTTTCGCGCTGAGGTAAAGCACGCTAAGAAACCTCCAGACTGCGGCTTTTTTTTTTCCCGTAATTTTAAGGGCATTGCAATGATCTAAAAATATGCCCACGGGGCAACTTGCATGAACTTTAGGCACCAGGACCAGCGAAATCCCTGACCGCTCCCTGAAGAACGTGGTGGCTGAGGCTGGTACCTTGCAGTGTCTCATCTTAAAAATCTGTGTGTTTGGGCATGGTGCTGGCAGCAATGTCTTGGTGTTCCACCTAAAATGTAAAGGGCTCTTTGGGAGCACGCAGAATAAAGGTCTAGACCCAGCTCTATGCAGGATCAGGAATCACTAAATACCTCTACTTACTACAATAGCAAGGACCCGCTGTTAACCCCTGCAGGTTCATAACAGTGGTATTCTTAGGGCAGCTGGGAAAAAAGATCACAAGTTCATTGTGCTTCCCCTTACATTAACTTTCTATCTACCTTCAGTATTAACTGTTTTCCCTGGGGAAAAAAAAAAAACAGCAGTTTAATTTTCTGAGGGGAGGGCTATGTGTTTTTCAGAGTACATGTTCTGTCGAGTGTCTGCATTAGCCTTCTTTCTTGTACACCTGCAGGAGTTACTCAAGAAAGAATTGTTAAATTCCATTCAGTAGCAGCATTTACTAGTTGAAAGAGGAAAAGAAGCAAAGTGCCATGCCAATATAGTTTTTAAAAAATAGATATTTCTAGATACCAGCATCTAGCAAAGCTGCTTGATTTTATTTCATTGTATCAGTAAGATGTAATCAAATTGTTCGTACCTATGAGGTGACATATGTTCATTTGAACACAAGAGGTTGCTTAAACCAAGCGAGATGGAATGAGAAAGAACTACTCTTGTTCAGATTTAGCATGATTTCCAAATGCAATTGAAGTTGAGATGACATTCTCTTCATGGCATGACTGTACCATATAGCACTAAACATGTAGTACCAGTTAAAATAGATAAATCATTATGGTGTTGCAAAACACATAAATACCTTTCGTTCTCTTGAGTTCAGTAATATGGATATTTTTCAAAGTAAAATAGGGCTCAACAGGCAGGTAATGGCAGAGGTAGTGAACTGGGCAGTTACCTGCTGTAAAGAACTGTGCTGTGACTTAATTTCACACTTTTGGAGCTCATTAAGGTCCTTAGATAGCATCATTGATAGGCAAAATAAATGTTTACCATATTGAAAGTAGTAATGATTTCTTCTTTAATTATGAAAATCATGGGTAAGTAGAGAAAACACCAGATTCATCTTTTTGTGACTTAAGAGTATGATTTCTCAAAAAGTAAGTTTCTGTGACACACTAGTGATAATAGCATCTACTATGTGTTCTGTTATCTTAACAGGACAAATTATAAGATGTGCATACAGGTACTGAAAACTTATTTTATGTTTAAGCCCGGAAAAAAATGTCTTTATGAGTTAGAAGCAACCCAGGTCAGGATTTTTTCCCTCCTTCTGGTGATCACTGCTTTGTATAACAAAGTAGGAAAAAAAATATGTTAGATTCTGCCTAAGAAAGCCTGTAGGAAAAAGGGAAATAACAGTCTTTAGAGCCATGCAGTGTTCTGCAGGTACTAACTATTACAGCTGGCTTCTTTTCAAAAATACTATTTTCTAATGCTCTCAGTAACCTTCTCATAAAACTTATGAATATTACTTTTTAAATTATGAAGATCCAATTCACTCCTACACTTTCATGATGAAACTACTAGCAACTGTTTTTTATTTTTCCCCTGATAAATGGAAATTTTCTAAGAATGCACCCAAGCAAGAAGGGAGATAAGGGATAAGGAGCTGTGGCATTTCTAAAATAAAACTATAGGGCCTCCCAAGAGGGATAGGACTCATGATGTTTCTTGTCCAGTGCCCTGTCTCATAGGGTGGATGTTGCCAGGTGCTTAGAGAAGAATACAAGAAACCTCAAAGTAGAGAGTTATGAAGCAAGCAGTTGCTGATGAGCAGTCCTTCAACTCGTCACTGAAAACAGCTCACTCATGGCCTTTTTAAAACAACAAAAGCTCAGACAAGGTGTCAATGAAGTACGTGCTATTTAATGATTCTTAGTAAACCACATCCATTTTTCAGGCATGCACCCTAGAATGTGAAGGAAAGCTGCCTCCTGCCAAAGCCTGGGAAACCTGCAAGGAGATTCTGCAGCTGACGAAACTGGATCTTCCTGAGGATGGCAACACTGTTCCAGGAGACAAGAAAGAGCTGGATGAGAACCACTTGCTTGCAAAGAAGTATGGGGGCTTCATGAAAAGATATGGGGGGTTCATGAAGAAAATGGATGAGCTCTATGGGGTGGAACCAGAGGAGGAAGCTGATGGAGGAGAGACCCTGGCTAAGAGGTATGGAGGATTTATGAAGAAAGACTCAGATGATGACACCCTGGCTAATTCCTCTGATCTCCTGAAGGAGCTTCTAGGAACAGGGGATAACCCTGAAGCTGGACATTACGGAGAGGTAAATGAAAATGATGGAGATGTCAGCAAAAGATATGGAGGCTTCATGAGAAGTGTAAAGCGTAGTCCGGAATTGGAAGATGAAGCCAAAGAGCTGCAAAAGAGATACGGTGGTTTCATGAGAAGAGTGGGCAGGCCAGAGTGGTGGCTGGATTACCAAAAACGGTACGGTGGGTTTCTTAAGCGCTTTGCTGATTCTATTCTCCCTTCAGAAGAAGACGGGGAAAGTTATTCCAAAGAGATCCCAGGGATGGAAAAAAGATATGGCGGATTTATGAGATTTTAATACCTTCCCCCTTTATCCCTTTTGTCCTAAATGAGAGAGAGACTGCCTTATTGGTCATAACTTATTGTAATGTGTTGCTTGTACTGTACAGTTTTTTACTGTCCTGGTAAATGATGTAACCTGCAATCTGCTGTTTCAGGTCCTGTGTTCTTTTAACCATTTTCTGGTTCAGCCAAGTTCAAGTCTATATTGTAGTTTCCATGTTAAAATTATTTTGATTACTGTATTCATTTTCTTTAGAGAGAAAGTACATCCACAGTAGAATTGCTTAACTGTATATACAATAAATTTGTCATCCTAACTGCATAAATATTGAAATACGTATTATTTTCTGCCATTCATTAAATCAAACATCATATCATCCTTTCTTAACACTAAACACTCACATTAATGTTGCCAAACTCTTTTCTCTATAATTACAGAATTTGTCCTTCACACACAACAGCCAAAACGTTTTTTCTTCTTTTTTTAAGTTTCTTAAAACACTAGAATAATGAATATACTCTAAAGAACACATCTGCTCTTACTGTTCTTATTTTCATGGATTAGCAGACTCTGTGTTTCAAACCAATTAGCAGAATCAAAATTCATCAATTGTTGTATTTAGCCAATTCCCACAAAGAAATACAATATTTCACTTAAAACACTAAAATCATCTCTCCAGTACACAACAAAATGTCATGTTTTAGTTGTACTTTTTACATCCACCCAGTATAGGATTGTATAGTCTTTAAGATCTTTAGTTAAACACAAACTTAAAAAGCAATCAATGAGTTTGTAAAATAAACAGACTGCCAAAAATTGCCTGAAAAACTACACAAGTCCATTTTTGCCTGATAAATGATTATGCATGGAATAGCTTTTTGTGATTCCTCAGTTGACTTTTCTTTGAACTTCGAGTCAATGGGATCTTCTGGGTTCACATGACCTGCTAAAAAAAATCAGGCTCGATAGTTATACATTTAAATATGCACTGAAAAGCCAAACCACACACACTTAGTGCTAATTTCTGACTTAGCCCTGAGAGGATGATACAAATGGTCTGAAGAGTACAAAATTCTGCTGACTATGTTGCTGACATTAATTTTTCCTTCAGCACAAAGTAGAGCACTTGTCTTCCTGTTCCTGCTATGCAACAGAATGATAACAAATTTTGAAAGTTTAAAAACTGCAGGGAGAAAATCTGGATAAATCTCTTTGGTGGAGGAGATTTGGGTTAGAGATCATTTAGGCAAACGAGATCATTAGGCAAAACTGACATCCATAAGTCCATCGGTGCTGAAGGGGATGCACCTTTGAGTGCTGAGGGAGCTAGGGGTCTAGGTAGGCTACTCTCCATCACCTTGGAAGAGTAGAGAGGTGCCTGAGGCCTGGAAGAAACCCAGTGTCACGTCAGCCTTCAAAAAGGGCGAGAAGGAGGACCTATGGAACTAGAGGCCAGTCAGCCTCTGAAAAGGTAATGGAACAGCTCATCCTGGTTGCCGTCTCCAAGTATGTGAAGGATAAGAATGTGATCAGAAGTAGTTATCATGGATGCACAAAGAGGAAATGATTTCTCACTACAAAGGTGCATGCAGTTCAAGCTCTACCTTAAAACTCACAATCTTATAATCTTAAATCTTAGAGTAATAAGGATAATAAGATCACAGTGCCCATACCATATCTTTTCCTTGTGCATTTACAGATGAATCTGGTATATTTTACAACGTATCAAGAGCATAACTTTGAACTCCCTGGCTTTTCTCTGGTAAATTAGATTGCATATGCAGTGCTATTTACATGAAATATAAATAATTCCAAAACATTATTATAGCAATTACTTCATGGTTATTTGTAATCATTAGAGAGAGAACGGGGGAGGTGCCGGAGAACGGGGGAGGTGCCGGAAGACTGGAAGAAGGCCAATGTCACGCCAGTCTTCAAAAAAGGCAAGAAGGAGGACCCAGGCAACTACAGGCCAGTCAGCCTCACCTCCGTCCCC